AGGGGTTAGCAACTATGGTCTGTGAGTCAAGTCTGGCCAGCTGTCTGCTTCAGTGCCACCTGCAAACTTTGCATGCTTTTTCAACAGATTTTTTAAATGATTAAAAACATCTAAAGAGGAATAATATTTATGACACATGAAAGTTGTAGGAAATTTAAATTTCATTTTCCATCGTGAAGTTTGGTGGAGCACAGCATGCTGGTTTGCCTCCCCATGTCCATGGCTGCTCTCACAGCTAAGGCAGCATTGAGACGTCACGGCAGAGACTGGCCCTGAGAGTCTGAAACATTTGCCATCCAGTCCTGCTGTAATTGATAAATATTTCTTTCTCTCCAGGCTGGCAAGTGTGATAACAGTAACAAATATTTGCATTTTTCTCTAGAGTTTAAAAAATCTTTCATATTTCTTATTTTATTAATTACTCATTAAAACTTCATAAAGTAAATATTTTTAAACTCATTTTAAAATTAAACACCCAAAACTCAAGTGATTCAGCTATTGTTAGTATACACAGGAAGGAGAAAGTCAGACAGGATAGAAATCCTCTGACATCAAATCCCATGCAATGTGTGCTTGGACATGATAGAACCCAAATGTGATTCCATTTCACCCTTAGCATGTCCTCTATTTGTCATCTTTGCTTGTCTTATCCCAACGCCCAAACTTTCATGTAAAAGTTCATTCTCACATCTTGGCTATGCTGCCTGTTATTTTTTAATAACTTTCTAATGTTATTCTAAGTCACAGTGAGCTTTCTAGAGTTTCCTGAACTGCCACACTCGTTCTTGTCTCTCTGCCTTCTTTCAGATGCTATTTTTTTCCTCTTAAGTGCCATTTTTAACCTAACTTCTCATCATTTTCCAGACCTTCCATACACAGCATCTCTTCCCTTCAAGTGTCTGCTCTCTGCTTGTTTGTGCTAACTCGAACTCAGGTGCATTCTCTCCAGCGAGGACTACATAGGCTTGTTGTTTACCTACTGGCCTCCCCACCTGGACCATGGGCCCTTTGCTAGCAGATGTTATGTCTTATTATGTGACTATTCCCAATACCTCAGTCAGAATATACATCAAAAGAGCTGACTAATGTTTGTTGAATGACTAATGTTTGTCAGAAAATTAATGGTTACTCTCAGGTAATATTCAATAGAGGTGGTATTATAAAGTGTAATAGTAAGACTATGAAGTTACCTTACAAATCTTAAAGGGTGGCAAGTTAAAAATATGTATTTTCATGTAGGATAAAATGCTAAAGGACCTATATGTACACACATTAAGTTGATCCCTGTCTATTTGATTTCTGGTAGTTTGATGTGTAAATTTGCTTGCCTTTTAAAATGTAGATAGTGAAAGGTTCAATGGTAAGTTCAGTATCTAGCACACTGCAGGCTCCCAATTAATGTCGCATCATAAAGATTCCTTAATAAGCTCACCGAAGGAAGACCCACAGGACTGGAGTCCACCACTGCTTAGTGCACCAATGCTGTTCCAAGGCCCAGCCGGGGTGTGGAAGAGTTCCACCTGTTTATTGGGAAGGAGCACCGGATTTTTACTCACTTATACATTGATGTGCTGAAAATGTTTCCCATTGGCTCTAGTTTTAAGTGAGCACTGAATAGTCTTCTTTCCTTCAAGGAGAGACTCTGCCTCTTTGGACATCTACCAGAAAAACATGAGGTACACTCTCTGCTGACAAGGCGGCCCTGAGAGCAGGTCTACCACAGAGGGCCTCCTGCAGACATAAGATGTCTCCTACTCCCAAGTCACACTCCACTGGCATCTCAGTTTTAATGTTGGTTCAAAGTAACTGGTTAGAGGTCTAGAAAGTGTCATTTTGGTATTTGTGGCCTTTAGCAGCTCTTTTTAGCACCTGTTTACCTTTTTAGATGGAGAGTTTCTTCTAGTTTTATTGAGCAGTAGGAACAGCAAAAACTGCACCATGGCCAAAATTTGTTATTTGAATTAGTTCTAGCAGCACCTGGGTGGAGCTGAGTGTTGTTTGAGGCTGAAAAGGGTTAAATCTTTACTGGAAAATAGGTGTTAATATCCTATTTTTCAGATGAGAGACTGAGTCACAGATAGAGTAAAAACCTTGCCTAAAGCTACAGAGTGGACATTAAATACAAAAGTAAGTGGCATTGAAGACTATGCCATTCTCTCAGCAAAGCAATTTTCTTACGCAAGATACTCTCCCTGCAAAATGAGAAAAACAACACCTGTCTGATAGTTTTATTGTGACCGTAAGTGATAACGGGTGTAAAGCACTCGACACACAGTAGGTCCACAGCAATTGGTAATTGCATTATTATTGCAGTATTGTTGTGTGAGAATATTGGACGCATGCTGATTCTCTTCAGAAAACCTTTATCTCTTACATGAGAGCTTCCCACACAACAAGGGCCCTCGGGAACCAGGACAAGCTGTCACCCTCTACAAACCAGTGTCAGCCAAGAGCCCTTTCAGAAGCATCCTCCTGCCGTCCCCCTGGATGGCGCTTCCCTCCCAGTCAGTGACGGGAGGAGTGCCCAAGCAGGCTGTGGCCCTCTCAGGGCTGTTCACACACTTGGAGCACTTCGAGGGCTCGGCTGAGTGGGGCTCGCCCTCTCCACCAGCCAGCACGGTCATGAACGCTCAGGCTCCTCCCAGGGAGGCGTCACATTCCAGACCCCGCTTTCGGCCACCTGTGCTGGTGACAGGATGTGTCAGCCACAGCCCAGGGACACTCAGGGTGCTTCCAGCCAGACTCAGGCGTGCAGAGGCCGGGAGGCTGTTCACCTGCTCAACTTCGGGCTGCTGGAAATGTGCTCTTTGTGAACCACCACTGAAAGTAAAATCAATTAATATACAGTTTAAAAATAGTATTAATTTCCATGAATTTTTTCTTCACATGTTACATGTCTGTCTGGACTAAGAGCCATCTTTTTCGGCCCTTTTATTTCATAGGCTCAAACCAAATACAGCTATGCAACGGAGGCGGAGATTCAGTCCTCCGTGACTCCTCATTTTATTTTCTGATTCTATCTGTGACAAGAAAGGAGCTCGTGAAAAAGAGGGTGGAGAAAGTGATATCTGCTTAATACATATTTAAAAAAAAAATCTATCAAGTGAAGAGGCAGAACACAGGTGAGAAAGGACTCACTGGGTTACTGACTAGAGAGCTGGCATTGAGGCTCGGACCCGACCTCGCCAGAGGTCAGCTTCTCTATCACAAATTACTGCACAACTTTCTTCCAAGGTAACCGGCTGGTTTCATTATTTACAATGACGATTCCTTTTTCGGGGGAGGGCATCTCAAAGGCTCAGCCCAGAACCAGACCCGACGACCTCTTCTGACTCCAACTCGCTCACAGGCAGAGGCGCCCCTTGCTGAGCAGCGGGCCTGCTCCCCGTGTCCCTGGGTCGGGCCGTGTGGGACCCGCCGCTGCTTTCTGTACATTAGTAAGTGGTGAGGACTCGACGACAGGTAGTGCTGGGCGCGCTCGCTGACCATGTACTCAGCTAACTGGTTTGCATATACTGTTTCACTTAGTACCCAGAACCTCGGAAGCTTTTTGCTTCTGTTTTTTGCTTCCGAATTTACATCTGCCAAAACTGAGAATGATGGTGGACAGTTGATTTCAAGTAAACACAAACCTGGAGAATGGGATTTTATGAGATTGGAGCCCGGCTCGCCTGGCTCCGATACGCATGAGCCTGGACCATATGCACTGCTTTGAGCCTCACTGCATGCTGTGCCTGGCTCCCCCTCCCTTCAGCTCACTCCAAATGGTATTTCCTCCCCACTCTTCATTTTGCTAAATCCGATGCTGCTCATCTAGTCTCATCTGAGTCTCTCATAGCATTGAAGGACAGCCCACCTTTTTCTAAATAAGCACCTTATTTCCTGGGCTCCCGCTTACCTACTCTCCTCCTTCCTCAATGTTTGGCTCATCTCCTCTGACAGATCACTGTTCCAGGCTCTGTTTTCTAGTTGTACTCACACTCTACATGATCCCAACCCCCCTGCTCACACACACACACACACACGCACACATGTATACAGTATATACCCATGCACGCATTACATGTACATGTACCTACATCCTCAGCTGCCTCTCCAGACACCTGCTCCACATCTACACTCGTTGCCTCTCTGAGATCTCAAACTTAACAGAAAGCTCAAACTGAACTCATGACCCACCCTTCTCGCTTCACAGGTACATCCTCAAAACAATACTATTCACATGCATTTGTTCAGCTTCAGCTGCTTCAGTAGAAGCTGCTCTCTCTTGGCCCCTTCCTACCCCTCTCCGCTCCTCCCCGCCCAGCAGCAACCCCCTGCTTCTGTCTGGACCAGCTACTGTTCCAGTTCCGATACAACAGCCCTCGCCCGAGCCATCGTCAGCGCTCTCGGCTACTGGCTCTCTCCTCCCTTGATTTTTCTAGGGTCTACTTTCCATGTAGCAATTTGATGTTTTTTAAAAGGTAAAACTGATAGTGTCACTTTTCTGTTGAAAACCGTGTTAATTTTTGATTACTGTGTTGACTGACTACCTCGTACACAGAAGTCTTGTAAGGCCGTAGGGTGTGAGTTCTGTTTCATGATGATGCAGGCTTGGTGCTCAAACACACCAACCCCCTGCTGGGTTAGACGAGGTCAGAGAGGAAGGCGAGGTGCAGTAAGAAGTGGGGCTGCTGTGAGCGGGCCCAGGGGAGGGCTAAGCGGCGGCCCTGCGCGTCCCGTGGGCAGCTAAGCACGATGGCTCCCGGGCCCTGAGTGTGACTTGGTCAAGTCAATAGCTTGCTCGTCTACACAGGGAAGGCAGCCGTGCGGGCCAGTGTAGCTCAGCTGAGCAATAAGAAAGCTCAGGGCAGCACCTGCAGGCCTGCTGGGATCCGTAAAGCTGGGGAGCGGGGGACCCAGGCTCCTCCAGCCCCCCGCCCGGCCGAAGGAAGGTGGTTGGGAGCCGAGCGCGGAGTTTCTTGGCTCTTCACAGACTCAAGGAAACACGGAGGGCACACTGTTTTCTTCCACAGAAAATCATACAAAATTCTCTCTTTATTAAATATACATTATTTACAGTTTAAATCTTTCTTCTGTACAACAGTAACCATAGAAAACAAAGAAATCTAAGGCTAACTTTCAGTTCTCCCCATACAGTGTATTAAGACATGTTACATGGTCTACAAAACTGGGGGAAAGAGGCAACATCACTGGGGATTCTGTTTTGAAAACAGAAGTCAGGAGGTCAAAGGTAAAAGCTAGTCTCCGGCAGACCCAGGAAGAGAGGCGACCTGCTGGGATCTTTTGCCATAATAAAGACTCTGATGTGTACATTTTTTGGGGAAAGTGTTTTGCATTTTATTGTTTAATTGTTAACATTAATCTCCCTATTCCTTCTCATTCCTCAGAAAGGACTTCAGGCCAGGGTGACAGGGATCTCCCATCTGAAAATGACCCTTCAATGCTCTGTCAAGGAGACCAGCAAGCTGCAAGCTGGGGATGAAATCTACCTATCGCCTGTTTTCACAAATGAAGATTTACTGGAAGTAGCCATGACCATGTGTCTATGTATGGCCACCTTCCCGCTATAACAGCAGAGCTGAGCAGTTGCAACAGAGACTGTCTGTACTACAAAGCCTAAAATATTCACTATCTGGACCTCCACAGAAAAACCTGGCTGACTCCTCACCTACCATTCACGGGGCAGAGCCCTGGTTCCCCTCAGCCAGCACTCCTGCTCCCTGTGGCCGCTGTGCACCCTTTTGCCTCTGCCAGTTGACTGATGAAAGTGACAGCCTGAGACAGCGCAGGATGTCAGAAAGCCAGGAAACGACCATATTCAGGAGGAAAAATGCTTGGTGTTGGACCTCATGAAACACAAAGTCCCTCTCACAATGTAACTAGGCTGTTTTAAGCAAGGTTTGGTATTTTTGTGTGAGTATTTAGGCAGGATAAGATTACACAGGTTGACACTGACATTCAGGGAGAAGGAACTGTGTTAATAGTTCATGTAAACCTGTGGGATGGGGTTGACCGTATGGAAATGTATGACTAGGTAGATGCCTGTTAATATTATCCCCTAACATTCCACTGAAAGTTCCTTTTTGTGGGTCTCCCAAAGACTCTACAGGGTAATAAGATACTTCTTTTGCATGCACAGTACCTTTGCATGTGCTCTGAGATTATTCTGGCACCTGAGACTGAAGCATATGATGCTAATTAAAATAAGATGCAATTTAGTCACTAAAGCAATTAGCTTCGCTTTTGGTCATGGCCTGGGACTACTCTTCTCATTTTTTACCATTATTTGCAAGAATTTTTCTGTGTCACCAGGGAGGACTGAGGAGGACAGTATTCCCGGGCAGTGTTAGATGGCAGGTACCTGGAACAGTCCCTTCCAGGAATGCAGAGTGCCATACTTTTTTTCATTATGACATGCCTATGGACTTCGGGACCTCAGGGGTTCCACCAATGGGCTTTCCAATCAGGATAGTTCAAGAGAGTGGACTAGGGGCTTTCTGGCCATTTCTTTTCTTTAAAGATGTATGTAGGTGCTCAACCTGGGCATGTTAGATGATTATGGTGATAGCTCTAAAGATCCTGGAAAATTTCTGATGAAATTAAAATCTTGAAAAAAAAAAGATGTGGTTGGAGTAGAGCTGGGAAGGGTCAAAAATGCCATACAAAACGCAGTAAAGAATTCTTCATGCAAAGCCCATGATGTTGCCTTTTTCCCTAACGTTTGAGACTATGATCAAAACGCACTAAAGAGACTCCTGAGTTAGGAGCCAGGAGAGTGGGAAGAGCTGTTGCCACTGGTCCATGGTGGAGTCAGTGGCCCTCCTCACCTGGGTCAACAACCGATTTTTGCCACACATTCCTCCTCAACGTGCCCCAGCAGGTGTGCTCGGGGCACCAAAAACAACTTTTGTCTTAAGCCTTGCTCATGTCTGCTCAGCCACTTTGTGGACTATAAACACTACAAAAGACAGACAACTAGTTTACAAAGGACAATATCTCACTAAAAAATGTGCTTTTTTGTTTTTTCTCAGAGTACCTTAGTGCAAAATAAGAGAAAAATTACTTAAAATAGCCAAAGAGTGAAATATTAAAACCTTAAACGATGGTTTAAAATAAATGACAACTCAAAGGGAATGTGTGTGTCTCCCTACTAATCAGACGTGCACAGAATGTCCTGCAGAAAGCTTGGAGAGCAGCCCTATTGTTACGAAGTGTTTGTATATTGTGTTCTTGCATTTTAATTCTTTCTAGGAGGTTCAACTATATGGAATTTATGAAAGAGTGATAAAAGTTATGGACAACCAATATATAAAATCTAGATGGCTTAACAAGTGTGTGGGTGGGGGGACGGGAGGAGCGGTTTAAGGACAACTCCAGGACAGTGTAAGGAAGTAATCCAATTACACTGTGTGTCTTTTAGAGAAAACACTTTCAAACTGCATGAGAGACATGAAATAGCAGTCAGCTATGCTCGAAATATTCTGAAAGTTTTGAGTTTCTCTTCAACTTCTTCCATTAATCACCTTTGCATCTGCGGGAACAAAGGGCCCTCTTTATTTATTGGGTCAACTTGTGACCTTTAGGACAACTGAAGACTAAAGGCATCCAGTTATTTAGGTCAAGGGAAAATGTCTGGAATTCTCCTGTGCAGGCTGGTGTTACCAGGTGGTTTTGTTAGATTGTAGCTATGGGAGAACTGGAAGGAAGCCAAGGTGTTGGTGAACAAGTTGTGGAGCCTTTTTATAAGAAATAATTCAAATGGCCTGATTCCTACCTCTCTGACCATCTTGGAGAAGATTCTGCCTACAGCCCCCAGATCTGCTCCTCTAACTGAATGAGCTTCCTGAAGAGAAGAGACACGTGTGACTTTCAGGATTGAAAAAATTCAGCCAGAGCACAGAGCTGAGACCTCACTTAAATGGACAACAACATTTAGTCAGTTATTTGCTCAAAGATACACTTCATCTAGTTCTCAGAGAGTCAAATAGCTCATTAGGACAAAAGAGGGTTGTAGGAGGAGCTGGAGTACAACAAAGACCACTTAGGAAGGACTGGAAGAGCAATGGCATGCATAGGTCCCAACCAGATGTTAGAACTGAGAAAAGAGGAGGGGAGCAGAAGTGGAGAAGAGGGTCCCTAAATTGTTTGACACTTAGGACTGATTGATGGGAAGAGTTTTTTCCAGAGTCCCCCAACCAGAAGTGAATAAGTATCATTCAGCCTCCCAGATATATGTGAGAGACAGGGACATTTATTCTTGCTGTCCCTAAAGATTCAAGCTCTCTCCCTCTGCAGAAACATACCTGCATTGATGTGCATTTGCTTCGAGGAGGAGACAAGAGCAGCTTATTAAAGGTGAAAGTAATAACCAAGAAAAAATTACAAATATTTTCCAGAAATTTGCCTGTTTTTTAAGTCTCTAGCAAGGGCTTTACAAAAATAATTGTGCAGGACCTTTGCTATCCACCGATAGCACTCTATGCATGCCCTGCCATAACAACACGTGCCCATTACAACATGTGTTTGACTTCGCACTACCCAAGGGCTAGGCTGAGGTGTAATTTATATCTGTACACTCAATGTCTGGCCAAGTCCCTGGGTTCCCGGGCATTCAATAAATATTTCATGAATGAAGAAAGAAAGAGAGAGCAATCTATTTCTTTTGTTCTGGTCCTGCTCCTATTACTACCTTATGCTGGGCATGCGTCAGACAAAAGGGGGAAGTCGGGTTATTACCATGTCTGTTAATACTAAAGGGAATGATACTTGTTTTTAAAAAGTCAGCCCTAGGATCCTTAAGATAAATCTCTCATATGCAGTTGAGAGTGAATAGAAGAGGCTAAGCTATTCATAAAAAATATATCTAGAATAGTGAGAAATCTTGAATTCTCCAGATGAATTCCCATAGAAACCATGGCAATCTAACTTATTGATACAACGGATGATGAGTGGGTGTTAGATATGTTATATGGTAAAGGGATGTACTATTGCTTGCATAAGTAGATTTATTCGGTGGAAGGATATCAATGAAATAGCCCCCTTAGAATGTGAAATTGCACAGGTATTTTTGGTTTACTGTACAGTGACCACATTTCATTATTTTTTTGTGTAAACAGCACTTGACAAAGACTGAGAGTTCAAGTGGAGACTTGGTGGTCCTGTTGGCCAGAGCAGGAGTTCAGAAAACATGATTACTGAAGCAGAATCCGTGGTGAAGGAGGGGTTAGAAGGCTTTCAAAAATTTTCTTATAGTATAATTGTTCAAGGATCGAAAAACTCAGACAATTTAAAAATGCACAAAGCTACATGGGTTGTGGTACCACTGAAGGAAAGACAGGCAGAGTGAGCTCTTGTTTCTATCTGCAAATAGTGTTTTCTTTGGAGGAAGCAGCTCGCTTGCTCTCATATAAAACCCAGTGAAAGAGTATTTGCTGAGTTGATGAAATAACCCCACCCTGTAAAAGTAATTCTATTATAACCCTGAGACTCTCTGCTAGGAGTGGCATGCAGATGCGCTGTCTGGTCATCTGTCTTTAGGTCTGTGGTCCATAGTGTGCTGTGTACAGAGTCCCTACATGCAGCGAGGGACGCTGGCAGGTTCTCCAGGGCAGATGCGGCAGGGATGGTGCACCTCAAATTCTTCACCTACAGAGCTGCTGTGAGCATGTGTATGTAGATGAGAAAAGCAAACACTCTAGGTGGGTCTTTCTACTCCTCCATTTCTTCTGTCAGCACAGCATCAGCAAAATAGAGTCCTTGTTTTTCCAGCTTTATTACTCACACCTTCCTTTTCCTCTCCATTTCATTATCGCAGAGGCTTCGGGCTAAACCCACTACATTTCACGGAGACTTTTCTCTCAGGGGACAAAGGACTGCATAGCCAAGCAAATGGCTGATTTATACAGACTTTTTATAGAAATAGAAAACTCTAAAGTGAAAGTGGAAATAGGAGAGGACAGGACAGGAGAAAGCAGGATTTAAAGATCTTCCCTCCTATTAATAGATCATTCATCTTATTAAAGCTAGAAGAAAAAATGGTGCCTTTGTTAGAATCACATTAAGATAAATTTACTAGGGAAATGTATAATGGAAATGATGGAACGATTAAGTAACAATTCAGAGACTATTCCAAGGAGAGCCTGTGCAGTTAGAGAATTTTCAAGTTGAGAGATGTGACTACAAACTGAGTCCTTACACCACGCTCTCTGAAAGCAGAGCCTGGCACGGACCTGAAATCTATGCAGCCCATGGATTCCTCACTGGGAGCCTTCTCTTGCAGGACCATGTTAATACCTAGAGGCGACACACCCTGCGGACAAGATGGAATACTGACTGTCCAGGCTGGAGAACACAGAGGGGGTAATTGTTTCCCCAGTAGAATTTGTCTCATAAGGAGAAGCAGCAAGAACTCTCCACATCCGTGGATCATTATATTGGCTTTCCCAGCATCCTGGAGGATTTGTACGGTTTCCCCTTATGTTTTTCTCCAAGACGGCCCAGAGGCAGAGAGTGAGGCATATTGCTGCAGCAAAATTGCTACCTCCACCTGGGGAGTGAGCTCGGGATGCCTTCTTGAAGGAATGGTTGTGTTTCCTTGATGCTTTGTCATCAAAGGGGCAGAGACTAGGAAATCTGTCACCACCTTGTCTAGCAGTCTGTGCCCACAAGACATGTGTGTGCATGCATGTGTGTGTGCACACATGTGCCTTTATATACACAGATGAGGCAAATTTGAAGATGTGATGTGCTCTGGAGCCTATGGGCTCCTCCAAAGTTAAGCAGTGAGTGTTCACTGTAGCCCACCATGCCTCATATGTCGGTGAATCCTCAACCGCCCCGGGGATGGCTCCGTGGACAGAGGTGGGGCATTACGCTTGCTCTGAAATATGGCACCTTCATCACTCTCTTCACCAGATCTGTAGTGAGTGGATGGAAGGGAAGGATTCTGTTTGGTATTTCTATTCTTCCATGTGGTCTTTTTGTTTTGTTTTAAACTGAATCTAGATGGCTTAAGCTCATGGAACGAGGTACTATTTCAGACTGTTATTTGAATTTTTTATGCTTCAGATACTCATGTATATATACCTTAGCGTAATAACCCAGGAACGGCCTGGCTAGCTTTCCTTAAGAAATTGGCAGAGGCATTTCTGCAGTTATAGAACATCTACTTCCTAGCTGCGCTCTTCCCTCCTAGCTGTAGGCTACTATTCCATGCTTAGGGTGCAGTGCGCTGTTCCAGGGTGCCGGCCTGGAGAGGGTGGTAAGTTGGGAGCACAACAGCTCACTACAATCAGGAATCCTGTATTTGCAAATGGTCAGGGGATAAGAGTCAGAAGGAAAAAAGGTTATGAGTTAGGTCAATGGGATGTCTATGGTAAGAAAAATGAACCAACTCTTCCTTTTAAAGTGCCGCTGAAGGAAACCAGGCCAGCATCTTCTTTCCTACCCTGAGCTCCCTGGTAGGAGTGGACTTGAGATGGGGAGGATCTCATAGTCGACTGATAATGGCTTAGCCACAGGGCTCGGGTTCAAGTGAGCCTGCCGACTGATGGCAGCGGCACTGACGCGCATCTGAGAAACAGGAGTGCAGGACTGAACGCGCACATGTGCACACGCGAGTCGCCTCCTTGTCTACAGTGGTAACGTCAGCCTCTCGCGTGATCACTGCCAGCACAATAGGTCAAAGAGGAAGACAGCGGCCATAGCTGCCTGGTCTCCTGGGCTGGGTCAAGGGGGTAAATGCTGTGGTCGATGCAGGTATGTTCCAAAATCAAATGGGGAACAAATAAGAGAAAGAAAATGACCAGAATTAAGAGACAGGAGATAGATGCAAAGGAGGAAAAACCTAACAACAAAGGAGTATTAGTTGACCCTGTAGGTTTTCAAATGAAATATTCCCGCTTGCACTCGCTCACTGAATTCTGCAAGTCAATGTCATTTCTGAAGGAATTGTCCAGGTCTGCTGGGTATGCCTTCTCCTTTATCTGGTTAGTGCGGTGTGACTGCTTCTGCTGGTACAGGAACCGTGTCATGATGCCGATGATGGAGAAGATGATGAAGATCACCACTGCGATTACGCCTGTTGGGAAAGGTGGCCAACGAGAGAAAGGTAATGTCACAGATCATCCACTTCAGAGAGAGGATCAGTCTAGACACTGAAGCCACTTACGCGGAAAAACCAAACCAAACCAAACCAAACCAAACCAAACCAAAATAAAACAGAACAAAACAGAACAAAATAAACCAGAAACTCTGCCACATGCCCAGAAACAAAGACCAGCTGAAATGCCTGTGGTCTTCAGTTACAAAAGCCTCTCTTCCAGGACAGGGAGAAAGCCAGTTTCAGTCAGAGGCTGTATTTAATGGACTAAGGATGCCATCAAATAAATATGCAATCAGGCTAGCAAAATGTGTTTTAGTACATTTCTTCAAGACCTGCTCTAAAGAATGTCAGTATCATTTGCAATTAGCACATTTTTAACCTTGTAAATAAGCATTTTAGAACTGCTTTTGCATCCTAGAAATAATATTTAACTATCTCGCATCGCAATAATGCTCTCCTGATGCAAAAGTGTTGATGACATATGTTTGCTTTGCTAAAACATTTTATTAATAACCAAATGCTTCCCAAACACTTCGGGCGTGCCTGCAGTGCTCTGCGCACTCCTGACACAGGCCTTCTCAGAGACGGTGCTCCTTTGTCCCCTGGAAACGCAGAGCCAGCTAAAATGCAAGTTTCTGTCCAGTTGTGTTCGATTGCTCCTACTTTGCTTGTGTATGGTTTTACTGGACCTACTTGGCAAGTTGCCCTTGCTGACCCCTGAGGTCTTATTTCTACCTTTGCCAGGAAGGCTCTTGGGGTATGAAGAGCAAAGTCAGCAAAGGGGTGTTAAAAATGTGGACACTGCCACTTCTAAAAGGGAGGGCACGCCTACCCGAGAATGTAGGTGTCTCAGCACTAACATGCTTGACACTATCTTATATCCTAAGATTTGTTATTATGAATGTTATATTAATACTATTATTAGTAATATTATAAAATATTAGTATATATTCTGCTGTTTTTCTCTAAGTAGAATGGATATTGATAAAAACGCTAATTTTACAGTTATTTCTGAACACCCTGTGTTGTGATTTGTGAAATGCAGAACCGATTGCTTCTCCTTCGGCACCTGGAGTCCTCAGCATTGGAGGCTCTGCAAGCTTCCTGAGGGTTCCCCTGGGGCTGGATGACTTCCCTGCTCTTAACTGTACTTACAAAAGTATGTATGGGGAAGAAAGGGTCAATGGGGAGAAAGGGGACATCTGTAATAGTTCCAGCAATAAAGATAACTTTTTTAAAAAAGTATGTACATGGCTGGGAAAAAGTGAGCAGTCACAAAGGTCTTCTCTCCACTTGTCAAATGAGAAATTACAGGAAGAGAAACAGGCGCCAAATTCTCTCCTATGTCCCTTGATGCCACACTGAAAGCAAAGGTTGGACTCTTCCCTGAAGCAGAAATTAACGTCAGACGTTTGAGGACGGGTTTTCCTTCCCCCGAGTCTCACTGGATGCAGCTCCCACAGCTGTTTGTGTGCCCCCTCCGAGCACTGCTCCGGCCTCTGTGCCGTCTGTTCTCTGGCCTGTCCCCCACCAGACCAGGAGTTCTTTGAGAGCAGGGCCCATTTCTTTCACCCTCATGTTTCTATATTGAGCACAAGGTCTGGCGAAAAGTTGGGGCTCATTAAATAGAAGTTAACGAAGTGGCTACTGCTGACTTTTAAGAGGAGAACTCCGCCTACCTGCCAGAAGGCAGGACTGGGGTCCTCCAATGGAAACAAATTTACTATCCCACTGGCATCTGACATTAAGCAAGGTTTGGGAGGCATTCTGTGTTGCAAGGCCCAGATAGAAAAATCAAGGCTGCCAAGGGGAGACTGCAGCAAGCTGGGGAATCGGAGGGGCTGTGAGGCCTCAGGCCGTGAACAGTGGGAAAGCAAGGGAGGCAGGGAGCTGAGCTCACAGCAGAGTGGAGGAGATCTGCATCCGTACCTGTGCTGCTGGGTTTGAAACTACAGGCTGGGGCTTCACCCAGCTCATTAGGCACAACACAAATCCCTTATGGAGAAAACCCAACAGGAGGCAGCTCACCCATCTGTCTGCCCCGGTGTGGCCCTTTCCCATATGCAGTTTTATCAGTTTGCTTTGCTTGTGCTTTAGAAAAACTGACACCTGGATGAGAGGAACACAGTGCACACTGCCTGTCTCCAAGCCAATTATCCAGCTGTTGATTCAGTGTTCAGCTGCCTGATGCACCAGGGCCGGGTGCATCCACGGGGCTGCTGCCGAGGGGGAGGGGGAGGGTGTTTTCATCACACGGCACACAGGGCTATTGCTGAAAAGGCTCATGGACTTGCAGGTACCGTGGGGTCCTGGTGCTGGGTGGCCATCACTACGGAAGGATGCAAATACACTTTGCCAAAGGACAGAATTACTCTTGTCTTTTCTGCTTTCATCAACAAACAATAGTTTACCTCCAATGACAGCCGAGTCACTGCGAACTGCATTGGTGAGAGGTTCCCTCTCATCTCTCTTCCCAAATGGGTCTGAAAGAAATAAGAGACAGGAAACTTCACTTCTCCCTGAGAGTCCTGGGAAGAGGGCTACCGTGTGGAGTTGGGATGACACACCTGAGGATTAGGCCAGGTGCTCTAAAATGGCTGAGCTGGGGTTATGGAATAAAACCAAGCAAACGTTCATAAAAAAGCATTTGAAGCACACCGCTTACAGCCCATAGCTGCATGACCCCGTTAGCTCCTGTGTAAGGTGTCGGGTCAGGGGCTGGAACAGAGGACAGTCGTGCCCTGCCCATGTCCGCTGTGGCCCACAGCGCCCCTGCTGCCCTGCCCGCTGTGCTTCGCTGGACAGTCCCTATGCACGGTGATGGCTTCTCACCTCAGAGCACAGGCCCTCTGCTTCTGCTGCAAGAGGACACTGAGTCCATTGACAGAGAAGGACAAGCTGAAGAAGCCACACCCCAAAACCCTCACTAAGGGGAGAGGTGTTTTACTTTATGTACATTAGCATACATGGGGTAAGGACTAGTGTATCCCACTTAAGAGCACATAGATATGGGTTTGAGTCGTTGCTCTGCCACTTGGTCTGGTGACATCGAGTTTGATACACGTTTAAATAATCTGCAAGCGCACTGATAGGTGGTCATGGCACCCCTGCACAGGCAGAGAGTGCGCATGGAATTTTCAGAACCTGTAGCTCCTGTCAATGTGATCGTTGTATCATTTAATCCTCAGGAGAAAACTACAGCACAAGTATTATTTTTCCTGTTTCACAGATAAGGACATTACATTGAAGCCAATAAATAACTTGTTCAAAGCTTTAGAGTTCATTCATGGCAGACCTGGAATTAAGTGAAGTCTGGCCAACTGTGACATTCAGGCTCTTTCTGTGGCACCTCATTGCTGCGGGAGAGGGCAGAGAGCGCGGAGATGAGCAGGCAGCGAGACTCAGTCTCCGTTCTGCGCTCATAGTCAATAAGTTACTTGGCGATTGATTACCACACCTGATTAAAACAAATCCCAGGAACACTTCAAGACACCCAGGATGATCGTGACTAAGACAAGATAAAAAAGTTACTTTATGGAGTGCAAAACAGAAGACTATAGATGGAAGTCTGTTGGGCTTTCCTGTATCAAGAAAGGTGGTTTTTAGTCACATGACTTGTTTTAGTCAACAAGCAACTTGCCTTTCTGAGCCCTAAACTCTTCAATCCTTAGAGATGTAGCCACTTAAACAGTAGAGACTATATGCAGGTGTCCCCCCAAAAATGTATACACATTTTAGCTGCCATTATTAATTCCAATGGGTTAAATCTGAAAAGAAAGAAACATAAATCAAGCTATTAGCTGTTAAAGTGTGTATTCATTTTTGTGACACCCTGTGTGTCTACACAGTAATATGCACAAATGTGCACTTAGCTTTAACTACTCATTGTATTAAAAGTTAGACTATACTAACTAAATATGAAAATCACCCATGAGAAATCAGTCATAATTCTTAACCATCTGCATTCATACAAGGAACTAGTCTTTAACCTGGAAGCTTCTTGAAGGCATTGAAATAGTGCTACTGAAGTAACTTCCATTGGACATTCTCTTGTATACCTGAGGAAGAATGCACTGTGGTCACTGCATTCACATCTGAGTCCATCCCAGAGCCACAGCTGGACTCTGTCAAGGTCCCTCGGACGGTCACAGGTGCGATGGTGGCATGGCGCAGAGCTGCCTTCAGGGGTGCGATGTGGTTGTACTGGACTGAAGACAGGCATCCGACAAAGCCCAGGCTGTTTGCTTTAGCGACTTCAGGATCTAGTACAGCATTCTCTGCAACATGAAAGACAATCAATCACCTTTCATTTTCAAACTATGATTCATATCTTCTTTTTTTAATTTTAATTTTTAATTACATTTTACATTCAATATTATTTTGTTTCAACTTCAGGTGTACAATATAGTGGTTAAACAGTCATATACTTTACAAAGTGATCTCCCAAGTATTTGCAGGACCCACCTGGCACCTTATATAGTTATTATAATATTGTTGACTATGTTCCCTATGCTCTATTTTACATCCCCAAATTACTTTGTGACTAACAATTTGTTCTTAATCCCTTCATCTATTTTACCTAGTCCCCTAACCCTCACCCCTCTGGTAGCCATCATATCTTTTAAATAATGCCCAAAATTACAGAAATCACCTTGTTTTTGAATTAGGGAAATCATCCACTATCTGTTTTCATCTCTTCTTCCCAAACTCTCTTTCCACTACAACCATCAATAGATCAACCACAGGTCATTAAAAACCTGCTAGGGCCATCTCTGCTTTGAGACAATGCTTCCAAATTTTAATTTTTTTTCACATATTTTATGAGCTGTAACACAGACAATAAATCTCTTCTACACTCTAGATGTTTTACAGAATGTATAATTATGTCCATCACCATTTATCAATGAATGCTGGTGATTAGTTCAAACATACTACACTGCTTATTACACATTTAGTTCAAATATATAGAAGGAAGTAAGTGAAAAGAGGCAGACCAAGAGATAATAAGCCAAAGTGGTCCTCCCAGAAGTTTAGCACATTCTAAGTACTAAGTGGCCTATGTAGATGGACCTTCCATTCAAGATTTTCACCTGTCCATGGTACTCATTGCAGAGCATGGGTTTTCTATGACAGCATTCAATCTCTCAAAGTATCTTTGAGTCTTTATAAAAGATGAAGAAGCAGTTATTTATGATTCATAGCAAGACCAAAAGTCTCATTTTCTTCAAGATTTGTAGTAAGATTACTCAGTGGCCCATTTCTTCCTTCTAACAGGAATCATTTGAACAAATTGCTATGATGAAATTACATAAAAATGTAATACACAGGGGACTTTCTTTTCTTTTTTAAAATATATCTTTATTGATTTCAGAGAGAGGAAGGAAGAGGGAGAGAGAGAGAAACATCAGTGATGAGAGAGTCATTGATTGGCTGCCTCCTGCAAGCCCCTGACTGGGGATGAGCCCACAACCTGGGCTTGTGCCCTGACCAGGAATCGAACTGTGATCTCCTGGATCCTAGGCCGACGTTCAACCGCTGAGCTACGCCTGGCTGGGCGACTTTTTTTTCTTGATGTATAATAGTTTGGACACTCACAGATGGTTCAAATAGTTATTTTATTATGATATTTTGTTTATTTTCTGGAAGAGGTCAGGGACTTTCCTCTCTACCACTGTAGAGTATAACTTATTTCCATTCATAAACTGCCAAAGGGTGTGTCCATGGATCTCCAAGGAAGCCTTTGTTTCCAGCATTTAGAAAAAGATGCAATGAGAATATGGAAGAAAATGAGAACTTGACATCGTTTAATAATGTATTTTCTAATATTGCCCTCATTATACTCTCTCCCTTCAACACCCATGCAAACCTCACTCACTTGTCATTCTTCTTACAGGAAAAGGGAAAAAAAGCCAAGTGCATTAATTTTGCATGGCCATGTAACAAACTACCACAAACTTAAACTAAACCACATAAAGCAACACACATTCACCATCTTACATCCTGTAGAAGTCTTGAACATGGGTCTCATGGGACTAAAACCAAGGTGCTACAGGGTTGTGTTGCTTCTCGAAGTCTCAGGGGAAAATCCATTTCTTTGTCTTTTCTGGCTCCTAAAAGCCACTCACATTTCTTGGTTTATAGCCACCTTCCTCTACCTTCAGAGCCAGAAACGTTGCGTTTTTTGTGCTTTTTTTCCATCACACCTACTTCTAATTCTCTTCTTTGGTCCCCTTTTTCATTTTTAAGGATCCTTGAGATTACACTGGGACCACCCAGATATTCTGGGATGATTTTCCCATTTTAAGGCCAACTGATTAGCAACATTAATTTTGTTTGCAAACTTAACTCCCCTTAAATGCTTACCTAACACATTCACAGGCAATGGAAGTAGGACCTGGATGTCTTTGCGGCTCATAGTTCTTCCCACCCCTCTAGGTCTGCAATTCTCTCAGAACTCTCCAGGTTTCCTACAGGGTTGGTGCATATTCGTTACTGACTAATGGAAGAATCACATAGGTTTATTTCTCATTATAGATTAAGAAATCTTCACCTCATAAGAGACTTCTTGGACAGTGTTATGCAACAGTTTTCCAGGTCAAGAAGCTTTAAGACTGGGTGCTATTTGCTGAGCGGCACCAGAAATCAATGTAACCAGCTGTAACCAGAATGCTCGTTAGCTTCTGGTTGACAGTAATCAAGGGATAGAGCTACAGAGCAGACGTATTTAGAGGAAGAGGCCCCGGAAAGTAGGAAACGGCATGAAGGGTTTGCATTGCAGGATTTGGAAGCAGTGGGAAGTGACATGTCATTGTAGCTCTGCCTTGAGGGTGTACGTTAAAAGTGCCGGGTCTCATTCCCAGAACTCAGTGAGAAAGAGGCTCAGGATGCTGCCAAGGTCTTTGAAGGTCATCACTATGGTGACTCCCATGAATACAAGCTCCAGGTACAAGAATAGGCACATGGAGGAATCAGGGGAAATGCCAGGAATGACATTCTCGCCTTAAAGAAAGAACTGTTTTAAATAAAGTCTTATTTCTAAGGCAGTGTATTTATTCTAGATGTATAATAAGGATGGAAACTTTGAGATGTTTCTGAACAGAAATGAGGAAAACATGAATTCCTAATAGGAGAAAGTATCTCAGTATGAGGCTCCATATGATATCTCAGATTATTACAGAGCTAGAGAGGCAAAAAAAAAATGTTAGGATGGTTCTAAATTATTTTTGCTTTTTAAAATATTGTTAACTAACATATGGTAGGGGGAAACTGTTTGCTAATATAATTAAAAGCTTTCAACACTCAATATTCACCATCTATTGAATACCTACCTATAACTATTCATTAATTATTTTAGAAATATCATTTCTCTTCCCCTCAAAATTTCTTTCATTTAAATTCTATTATCACCCCCATCCAAAATTTACAGATGGAGACACTGACATACAAGTTATAAAATGTACAGCAGGTCATTTGGCAAAGCTGAGATTTAAACCAAAGTCTCTATGACTCGAAATGCCAAAATCCTTATCTAAGCAACGCTGCCCCCTTAAAAATCTCTCAAAAACACATTTTTACATAAATATTTTTACATAAATTAGTTGAGAAATAATTTGCAAAAAAGTAATAAAAGGACAGTTTTGGTAGAATGCTTCCCCAAATCCAGTAAACTCTATTATATTAAAGATATAATGCATTTTCTAATTAATTTTATTCAGTTTTTAGGTTACAGTTGCATTAGGTTCATAAGGAACTAGGTGAGGGGACCATTGTGTGTACTGAGCTAAAGAGTGAATGTGGAAGACAGACTTGACGGGGAATGTGACGGCTCAGAAGTGGTGGAATGAAGATGTGACCAAGGCCCCATCCCTGGAAATCGCCTCTGTTCCGTTTCTCACTCTCTCCAAGACTTTCTGCTAGCATATAGACGTTGCAGCCAATCAAGGAGGATTGCAAGGTTTCGCTTTATAATATGTACCACCACAGTGAGAGACCACAAGTATCTTACAGAAAACAACAGCCTGTGGAGCTTCTTATTTGAAAATGACAANTATAGACTCTGCTAGCATATAGACGTTGCAGCCAATCAAGGAGGATTGCAAGGTTTCGCTTTATAATATGTACCACCACAGTGAGAGACCACAAGTATCTTACAGAAAACAACAGCCTGTGGAGCTTCTTATTTGAAAATGACAAAATTTCTCTCTCTCACCACACTTTAAAAATTATTAAGAAAATCAAAAACAAAAACAAAAACATAGATACAGACAGCAGTGTGGTGTCTACCAGAGGGAAAGGGGGGTGGAAGCCGGTAGGGGAGGTAAAAGGGGGATCTATGGTGACAGAAGGAGACAGCTTTGGTTGGTGAACATACAGTGTAGTGTACGGATGATGTATTATAGAATTGTGTACTTGAAGCCTATGTAATTTTATTAACAATGTAACCCCAGCAAATTCATAAAAATATTTTTAAAAATCAGTGATATATGGCTTCTGATTTTCACTAGCCTCCCCCCACTCCCTGTCCTCGGATCCTGATGGATAGATTGGTGTGCCGGGAAAAGCACATTTGAAGTGAGCTGGGCCTGAGCTGATGAAACAGGCATGTGTGACTTGCATGTTCTCATTTCTGAGCTTCGGTTGTGACCACCGTAAAATGGTGATTAATAGTGTCAACCACATGAATTGTGGTGGAAATACATATAATCATAGAAGTATGATTCTTAGCTTAGTGCCCATAGTGCACTTATTATTATTATTATTAATTGTTATTATTCGTCCTAATTCTCACCCAAGGAGTTGGAGACTCCTTGGCTAGACGCAGTGGCCCTCCGTGTGGCCCTCCGCGTGGCCATACCGCGTCTGTGCAGAGAACGCAGATGCCAATGCTGACGTGCCTGCGCCGGGGACTCCCCACCGAATTCCCATCTGCCAAGGGCACAACCGAATAAACCTCGTACTGAAACTTTGAATGACTCCATTGCTTAAGTTATCACAGACTACCTTTCTCAAGCATTTTAAAACTCTACTTTCTATGTTAATTTGCAAATGTTNCCGTTGCTTAAGTTATCACAGACTACCTTTCTCAAGCATTTTAAAACTCTACTTTCTATGTTAATTTGCAAATGTTCACTTCCTCAAAGCAAAGTTATGTCCCTCTATTAAACCAAGTGGATTCTGTGCTGCCACAAAAAATAGCCCACAATCAATTTTAACCCCAGAACATGTAACAGTTCCCATTCTCACAATTATTTGACACTAAAGAGTGACAGAGCCAATGAGGACATTTTTTTTTCATGGTTATTAAA